GCCTTTTTGAAGCTCTTTTCGGCACCTGTTTGACGGCCTTTGCTTTGGGACCTTTGCGCGCATTTTTGACGGCCTGTGGGTCCGTCAGGGAGCAGCATGGAGCACGGTCGAGAGCGCGAGCGGGGTCCAACAGCTCCGAAAAACACGTGGTCGTTGGAAGTCTAGCGTCCTCCCCCCCCTTCCGCGCGGGGTGTGGGACAGGGCAAGGTTTCATATGCGTAAACGCATGGGCCAGGCGGGGCCCGGCGGTTTCGCCTTCGCTTCGACGCTGGGTCCGGCGGGGGCACGTGTACCCAGACGTCCTCGCGCTGCGGCTAAGATCACCACTGGAAATGTCTGGCCGTTTTGGGTTTTCGGGGGACCCCGCTGGGCCACGGGACAGTCGAACAATTACCCGGGATGAACAAACGGCCCCGGGGAAGGGGCCGGGACTCACAGGAGCTCCGTACCAACAAGAACCAGACATCGCATGTGCGGGCACACTCGTCGACAGCGCACGCAGTCAAACCGAACTCAACCACAAGGATTACAAAATCCTGCGGCAAGCGGCATCTCCGCGGCAAGGCACGACCCTTGCCCCATCAAGATGAAGAGTCAGAACGTTATACATCCCCCTAATCACGGTGATCCGTTCGTTTTGAAACCATCAGGTGTGCCGTCCACGACGCCAGGCTTTTTTTTACCAAGCCCGGCTGGAGTGGGACTGTGGCAACACATTGCATCGCGCTCAAACGCCTGCTTTACTGCGACAACATATTGTGCGCCCGTTCGCTTGTATCTAAGGCCGCTTCGCCGGAACCCTCGTGCGCCCTCCCGCCCATTCCATATCCGTCAATCATGAGACTTTGGCGATGTGCATGGCGCTTCCCGCGAGAGAGCAGCAGCGACAGGAGCAAGAGGCGGAACGCATAGGCACCATGGGCAAACGTTCCCCCATGGTGTCGCGCAGAAGTTCGAGCGAGCATCGCGCCACCAAGGCCATCTGGCGCGCCGATCCGTCCAATCGAAACGAACCTAAATTCGCCGGCCCAACGGGCCAGAGGCGTGCTAAGATCTCCGGTAACTGGTTTACAATATTTCTACTTCGCGCGCGGGGGGGGCGGCCACAGGGGTTCCCCAGAGGAAAAATACCCCGGCAGGGTCGGGTCAGAGATGGTTTTCCGTCTGGGCGCCGCCCCCGAGACCCTCCAGAGAGCCCATGAGAAAAAATTGCCAAGAGGCCTCCAAGAGGCCCCCCAAGATGATACAAGAGGGCTCGGAGATGCCACAAGATCGATCCCAGACGCCCAAGATGGCCCCCAGACGCCCCAAGAGGCCTCCAAGAGCACTTTCAAGAGGGCCCCAAAAAGCAACAATCACTGGTTTCCCTAAAAGTTTTGGGAACATTTTGGTGTTTCCACCTTCTCGGCTCCCCGACGCCCCAAGACGGCCCAAGAGGCGCCCAATATCGCCCCAAGAGGGCCCAAGAGGCCTCCAAGACGGCCCAAGAGGGCCCTTAGAGCGCCCCAAGAGCGGCCCCAGAGGGTGAGCACGAAACAACATGTCGAGCCCTCGGTCCTGAGAGGCCTCCAGGAAGCCCCAAGAGGCCATGAAGAGGCCCCAAAAGGCCCCCAAGAGCCCTCAGGGGGCCCCCATGACGCCCCCAAGAGGCCCCCAAGAGGCTCCAAGAGGCCCCCGCGAAGCCTCCTGGAGGCCCTCGAGGCCCCCGAGAAGCCCCCGCGGGCCGGCTTAAGCGAAGCCGACTCTAACCCCGCTGCAACTGCCGGGAAGGCGCCCGCCGGGTCGGGCCGCGCCCGACATGGTCGCGTCGCGAAAACAAACAAACAACGGACAAAGGAACTTTGTCGGAGCTCGGCCTCCTCTGACTCCGCCGGGCCCCTGGGCCGTCGCAGATCGAGCGGGGTGAAAGACTGGCCCCCCGGCGCCGCGGCATCTACGAGCGCGCCCGGCACAGGGCGAGACCAGCCGCGCGCAGCAGATGTCGCATATTCGCATGCCAAGTCTCGGGGCGCAGCGCCCCAGTGAGCGCGGCGAGCTGGCCAAGGGCGCCGCCCCCCGCGGGCGCCACGCGCGGCGGCGCTCTTGGCTGCAGGCGCTGCCTTCGACATGGCCAACCCGGGCGTCGAATGCCAAGGGCGGGCGGCCGGGCGAGGCAGTCAAGGCCGCCGCTATCGAGGCAGCCCCGCACCCAGGAATGGGCAGGCGGTGCTCATTGGAGCAAAACCGCGCCCAGGCGCGGTCGGGCGGGCGGGGCAGAACGGTCGACGGGCCCGCGCGCAGGCGCGAGGTGTGCATTTAGCCTTGCCGGGACCCCCTAACGCGGCGAGACCAACTGCGGGTCGCCCTAGTTCGGGTCGCCTGCGTGCAGCGAATTTGTTGCACTGCTGGGTCGACCATGTTCGGGTCGACCAGAAGCTGGCGCGTTCGTGGCACCGTTCGCACCCCTGCGCAATTGTCGCGCTTGTGGGTCGCCCCCGTTCGGGACGCCCAGATGCGGGCGCGTTCGTGGCGCCGCTGGGGCTCCCAAGCGCGGGTGGCCCAACTCCATGTCGACTTAGTTTGGGTCACCTGTGTGTCGCGCATGTGTCGCGCTGCTGGGTCTTCCCAGTTCGGTTCGGTTCGCTCAGATGCTTTTGCGCCCGTCGCGCCCGCGGGCCCCTTGGCGCGGGTGGCCCGGCGCCAAATCGCCGACGTCCGGGTCGCCCGGGCACGCGCAGTTGCTGCGCAGCCAGGTCGCCCCCGGCAGGCGCGACTGGAACATCTGACTGACGCGAGGAGGACGGGGTGCCGTCTGCTCGCGGGAAATTCCGCGCTCGGTCGCCCACGAACGGGGCGCTGGAACTGGCAGGGCCTGCAACGCGGCGAGCGCCTGGCCGCGCCGCGACCTGCTGTCCACGATCCCCGCGTCGCGCCTGGGCTCGCGCGCCCGCTGCTGGCCTGCAAAAACGCAAATGAACCGCGCGCGCGTGGCGAAGTCGCGCGCGACGCGCCCCGCGGTCGCGCCGCGGCGTCGCGCGCGCCGCGGCGCTGCTGGCCAGTCGGGCCGACCTCCGATATGCGCGCGCGTCGCCCTTCGGCTGCGCGACCCGTGCACGTCCGGTCCGCCCCGTCTCGCGCGCCCCGACCTTGGGGCGCGGCGCCCTAACGACGGGCGGGGCGAACAAGCGGGGCCGACCCCCCCCCCGCGGGCGACTCGCGCGGGGGCGCCTGCGGTGGCAGGCGCCGCCCCCGACCAGAGGCTAGCCTGGGCGTCGAACCCAAAACCGCGAGCGACCGGGCTCGCATGGCCGGGGCGCGCAAGGCTAGCCGCGATCCAATGGAAACTCCAGCGCAGGTCGCAGCGCGCACCGGGCGAGCGCCTGAACGACTTGGGCGGCGGGCGCAGCTGAGGAGCGGCGCGGGGCGCGCGCGTGCCACTGCTTGGGCCCCCCAGCGCGGCTAGCCCAACTCCAGGTTGCCATGATCCAGGTTGCTTGAGCGCAGCGCTTCTGTCGCGCTGCTGGGTCGCCCCTGTCCGGGTCGCCCAACGACAAGTTCGTTCGTTGCGCCGCCGGGGTCCCTTGAGCGGGGGGCCCAACGACAAGTCGCGCTGGTTCGGGTCGCCTGGGCATGCGGATTTGTCACGTCGCTGGGTCGCCCTCGTTCGCGCCGCCCAAATGCGAACATGCATGCGCCGCTGGGGCCCCCCAGCGCGGGTTGACCAGCAACTGGTCGCCCGGGTCGCCTGAGCGCGCGCGCCGCAGGCGCGACTGGAACAACCGACGGGCGCAAGGAAGCCCGATGCCTGTCTGCGCGCGGGAAGGGCCGCGCTCAGTCGCCTGCAGAGGGGTCGCTGGAACTGGCGGGGCCTGCAGCGCGGCGAGCGCCAAGGCGCGCCGCGACCTGCCTTGCGCGCGATCCCCGCGGCGCGCCTGCGCGCGCGTCCGCGGCGTGCCTGCGGGCGCCCACGCAGAGACGCAAATGGGCCGCGCGCGCGGTGGAACCGCGGGCGGCGCGCTCCGCGGTCGCGCCGCTAAGTCGCGCGCGCAGCGTCGCCGCTGGCCCGCCGGGCCGGCTTCAGATCTGCGCGCGCATGACCCTGCGGCCGTGCGCCCCCCAAACGGCACGGCCGCCAGTGCCTCGGCGCGGTGCCAACTTCCTTGGGCAGCTGCGCCGCCGTGCAGCGTGCCGCCAAAGCGGCGAATTCAGCTTCGCTGCCCCAGCCGCGACGTTGGCGGCCGAGGAGGAACGCGGTTCGCCGCCCGCGTCCCCGCGGGCGCGGAAGTGCGGGGGAGGAGGCAGACCTTTCGCAGAGATGTCTATTCCTCCTCTCCTTTCGCCAGATGCCCCCTTGTCCTCGGGGTGTGCCCCGACATTCGCCACTTCCTGGCGTGCGTCGCTGGCCGGCTCCAGCCGCCATCGCCTGCCCGAGGGCGACCGCGCCTTCTGCGCGGCTCTCCCCGGGGCGCGCGCGCGGCTGACAAGCAGGAACTCGGTGGAACGCCACTGACAGCTCAGCGCCCTAACGCTGTGTCGTCGAAGCTTTGAAGTCGCTAGCGCCTCCTTCCTCCCCCCCACCCCCCTGCTCTTCCTCGTCGCGTGTTAACGCCACGCCACTGGCCCGCAGAGGGCAGAGAGCGGTTCCACACTGGCAAGGCCCGCCTCTTACAACCCGCGCACGCATCGCGAGCCTCGTCGGGCCCCGCAGTGCGCCAGGCGGACAGAAAAAGGAACATCCTGTTCTCCTCCTCGCCTAGGAGGTCGGAAGCGGGACGAGCAAGACCCGGAGAAAACGGTGACCTCGAGGCGGGTCTTGACACGTAGATCACAGCGACGTCGGCGGCGTTCCCATCGAACGGGACTCAAGCTGAGCAGTGTTTGTCGTGCTGGTATTGTCTTCGTTACCATGTTTTCTTTTGTGCCTTCTTGCTGCGAAGCAAGAGCAGAGCAAAAACGGCCCACGAAATCGCACAAGCACCGTTAAGCTCGAGCCCTGTTTTTCGTCGTCCTTCTCCTCCAAGTTTTCGGGCCTCGCCTCGTGCCGCGGGCCGCCGTTTGGCCGCGAAACGAACACAAAGGAAAACGCGACACGAAATCGCCCGAACACCGTTAAGCTCGAGCGTCGTCGTCGTTCTCCTACTCCAGGCTTTCGGACCTCTCCTCGGGGCCGCCGCTCGCTGCTAGCCTGTGGGAGCCGGGAACCCCCCCACATTGTCTCTCTCGACGGTGCGCAGCAGCATCGAAAGAAACCTCCCAGAGGCCCCTGCAGCAGCCGCGGGGGGAAACAGCGACAATCGTGGAACGGCCTCCTTAGGCGACCACATGTGAGACCCCACCCCTGCCCCCCACGATTTCTAAGGGAGGGGTGGGGTAAGGTCCCCCTCCTCGCCTCTACCTCTGCCTCTCGTGCGTCGGAGCCGGGCAGTGCCACGGCGGCTACACCGACGCTCTCGAGTCAGGGCGGCATCGGGCCCTACGAAGTTGAACCGCCCCACGGCGTCCACTAGACCAAGCGTGAGCCACGGGAGTGACCCAACGACGGGACCCACAAGGCCACGGGAGCCACGGGAGCCGCCGGGCCACGGGAGCCACCACATGAGGTCACCGACTCCTGGTGTCAAAAGAACGCCTGGGGGCGCACTCCTGCCAGGGTTCCAGGGCGGGCCTGGCCGCGTCGACGCGGGCACCAGGGAGACCCCCCCACCAGAAGGATGAACTTGAGGAGGCGGAGGAGGAGGAGGCGAAGGATGAGGAGGAGGAGGAGGAGAAGGAGAGGAGGAGGAGGAGGAGGAGGAGGAGGAGGAGGATGAGGAGGAGGAGGCGGAGGATGAGGATGAGGAGGAGGACGAGAAGGAGAGGAGGGAGACGAGGAAGCGGACGACGAGGAGGGAGGAGGAGGAGGAGGAGGAGGAGGAGGAGGAGGAGGAGGAGGAGGAGGAGGGAGGAGGAGGAGAGGGAGAGGCGGAGAAGGAGGAGGAGGAGGAGGGAGGAGGAGGAAAGGGAGAAGGCGGAGAAGAAGGAGGAGGAGGAGGAGAAGCAGGAGGAGGCGAAGGAGGAAGAGGGCGAGGAGGACAGAGGCGGACAAGGCCTCAGAGGGAGGCAGGCAAGAGGACAGAGGGAGGTCCCCGGAGGCCTCAAGAGGCTCATTGCAGGGCCCCCTCTTCGATCCTCCTGTCTCCTCGGGAAACGGGGGCGGGAGGAGGGGGCCACCGCCCGGCCGCCCGCCGGGGGGGGCGACGACGGCGGCGACAACGGCGGCCGCTGGCGACGACTGATGGGCCCACTTTCCACCGGCACTGCCATAGGTAGGAGAGGGAAGAGGAGGCGGAGAAGGAGGACGAGGAGGAGGAGGAGCAGCCGGAGGAGCAGGAGGAGGTAGTGGTGGTGAAAAATGGGTCATCCACGACGACGCCGATGACTGCCGCAGATCCTGCCCCAGCAGGCGCTCCCTGGCGCCCTGCAGCCCCCTGCTCGAGGCGTGCACCGCCGTGCCCAGGAGGCCCAGGCCGGCGCACGCACCGAGGAAGCAGCCTGCCAACGCGCGGGCGGGGCCGCTGCCGCGGCCCGCCGGCGACGATGCCGTCGCCGCCGGTCGCCAACATCGCCCTCATACCCATCAGTGGGGCAGGGAAGACCGGACGAAACCGAGACCGCGACAACATCGGACCTGGACACTTCGGGGACCTCCGGGATCCGAATCCCGGCGGCTCCGGAGGACAAATCGGGCGCCGCGGCCCTTCCAGAGCGTTCCAGGAGAAGCTCTTCTGGCTCTGGAGCGATCTGCCCCGGTCCTGGGCGCCCCCGAGGGTTAAGTCGGGCCTGTCCTCCTACAGGGGGATTTTGGAAGACAAATTAATTACGCTACCGAGGAACCCCACATACTTATATGATGGCTGGGGTGATGATAGCTGGACTGAAACATGTGAGAATGATATTGGTGGCCATTGCCCCGCCGATACGGCAAGGACGACCATCACGGATAGCGGCCGCGCTCAGGGACCACCCCGTGCGCACCCCCTGTGGTGTCGAGAACACGCCACGCCTGCCGTGCCCTGGACGATAGTTACGGATAGCCGCCGCGCTCAGGGACCACTCCGTGCGCACCACCTGTGGTGTCGAGAAAACGCCACGCCTGCCGTGCCCTGGACGACCGTTACGGATAGCGGCCGCGCTCAGGGACAACCCCGTGCGCACCTGTGGTGTCGAGAAAGCGCCACGCCCACCACGCCCCGCGACCCTGGGACGGATAGAGACCGCGGTGAGGGACCACCCCTTGCGCACCCCCTGTGGTGTGGAGGAAGTGCCACGCCCGCCACGCCCCGCAACCCTGGGACGGATACAGACCGCAGTGAGGGACCACCCCCTTTGCACCCCCTGTGGTGTCGAGAAAATGCCACGCCTGCCACGCCCCGCGACCCTGGGACGGATAGAGACCGCGGTGAGGGACCACCCCCTGCGCACCCCCTGTGGTGTCGAGAAAATGCCAAGCCCGCCACGCCCCGCAACCCTGGGCCGGATACAGACCGCGGTGAGGGACCCTGGGACGGATACAGACCGCGGTGAGGGACCACCCCGTGCGCACCCCCTATGGTGCCGAGAAAATTCCACGCTTGCCACGCCCCACGACCCTGAAACGGATAAAGACCGCGGTGAAGGACCACCCCCTACGCACAGTGCGGCGTGGAGAAACTAGCACGCCCGCCACGCCCCGCGACCCTGGGACGGATAGAGACCGCGGTGAGGGACCACCCCCTTTGCACCCCCTGTGGTGTCGAGAAAATGCCAAGCCCGCCACGCCCCGCGACCCTGGGCGGGATACAGACCGCGGTGAGGGACCACCCCCTGCGCACCCCCTGTGGTGTCGAGAAAGCGCCACGCCCGCCACGCCCCGCGACCCTGAAACGGATAGAGACCGCGGTGAGGGACCACCTCCTTTGCACCCCTTATGGTGTGGAGGAAGTGCCACGCCCGCCAAGCCCGCCAAGCCCCGCAACCCTGGGACGGATACAGACCGCAGTGAGGGACCACTCCCTACGCACCCCCTGTGGTGTCGAGAAAGTGCCACGCCTGCCACGCCCCGCGACCCTGGGACGGATAGAGACCGCGGTAAGGGACCACCCCCTGCGCACCCCGTGTGGCGTGGAGAAAGTGCCACGCCCGCCACTCCCCGCGACCCTGGGACGGATAGAGACCGCGGTGAGGGACCGCCTCCTGCGCACCCCCGATGGTGTCGAGAAAGCGCCACGCACAGGTCGCCTGTAACGCAGGCGCTCAGGGACCACCCCCCAACGCACTCCCTCTGGTGTCGAGATAAGGGCCATGCCTGCCGTGCCCTGCGCATCCTAGACGTGCGTGTTGTGTATGGCGTGTCATGTGTATGTGTATGATGCGTGTGCGGCCGTATCTGGACGTGTGTCTCAGGTGGGTGCCAAGTATGTGGTGCATACGTATTGGGTAAGCTGTGCTGTGCTGTGCTGTGCTGTGCTGTACCAACGAGCAGGCGACTGCTGTGCTGTGCTGTGCTGAGCTGAGCTGAGCTGTGCTGTGCTGAGCTGAGCTGAGCTGTGCTAAACTGTGCTAAGCTGTGCTGTGCTGAGCTGAGCTGAGCTGTGCTGTGCTGAGCAGTGCTGTCAGGAGGAGGGGAAGAGGGAGGTGAGTGAGTGAGCGCGGGTGGGACGCGGCAGAGAAGAAAACAATAATCCCACGAGGCATGTGGGGAAACATAGTGCAACAAGGCGGCAAAATGGCCCAAAAATGCTAAAGAAATCGTCCCCCGACTATTTTCTTACTATTTTAGAATATTCCTTCTGTAGAGGGACAGGCCCGCCTTAACTCTGGAGCGATCTGCCCCAGCCCGGGGCCTGAGCTGGAGCGAGCCGCGAAGCCTGACCAGGTCGAGAAAGGATGGCGACTCGCCCCGCAACGGATCGACTTCTGCGGATCGCCGCTCTCCCAGGCCCTGGCCGATGCTGATGGGCAAATGTTTCACCACCGCGGCCACATGTAGGACGGGGGAGAAGGTCCTCCTCTTCCTCCTCTCCTCTTCCTCCTCTTCCTCCTCCTCCTCCTCTTCCTCCTCCTCCTCCTCCTCCTCCTCCTCCCTCGCCCTGGCCGATGCCGGTGGACTGCATCGACTGAAGTCGAAGCATCTGGATCGCAGGATGGTCGGTGGCCCCGGAGTGCTCGCACCAGATTTAGGTCGGGCGTGTCCCCCTACAGGCGGATCTTGAACGAACAATCAAAAATACTAAACAAAAAAATGCTCCGAACATAGTCCCCAGACTATTTTTGTTATACTATTTTTGAAGCTTCCTCCTGTAGAGGGACAGGCCCGATTTAAGACCAAATCTGACATCCAACCCATGCCACCCACCGCCCCCTTCCCAGTGCGCTGATTCCCATTTCCATCCGCTTGCTGGGGTCCTCGGCGGCGCTGATCTCCCAACGGCAGCTGCAGGATCTGACCCAACGATGGCGCTGCAGTCGGGGAAGGGGGGAAGGCGGATTGCGGGCTGCGGGTGAGGAGGCGGAGGAGATGCTCAGGATCAGGAGGGTCAAAGAGGGGAAGGCAAGAACGAGGAGGGCGGTCGGAAGTCCGAGAAGTCACCTGCTCGCTCTGCGAGACCTCTCCATGTCGGATGGGGAAGAGTGGAGATGAGACGGAGATTTTTGCAGCGCGGCCACCTTCCCCCCAATTCATGAACAAAAAAAGCAACGATGACCCGAGAACCCGGGAGGCAAGCCAGAACCCAGGCGGCCCGAAAGAAAGACCGACGAAGAGATAGAGAGCGAGTGAGAGACAGAGAGAGAGAGAGAGCGAGAGAGAGAAAGAGAGAGAGAAAACAAAAAGAGAAAGAGAGAGAGAGAGAGATGAAGAGGGAGGACTGGCAGTCGCAGTTCAACGCCCCCCGCGGCCGTCGGCGTTCCCCAGGGGGGAGAGAGGAGGGCGGGAGGGAGAGAGGGGAGAGGAGGATGGTAGGGTGGGGGGGGGAAGCGAGGGGGAAAGGGGGGAAGGGGGGAGGAGGGTGGGAGGGTGGGGGGACGGGAAGAGCGAATATGGGAAAGACCAGGATGGCGGCGATGGGGAGCGGGCGCGAGTGGTGAGAAGGGGTGGGAGTGGCAGGATGGCTGCCAGATCCTGCTCCCCCTCGCGAGCCTGATTCTGCCCTGCTGCCTTTCGCGCTCCACGAGAATTCCTCCGCCCGACGAGGCGCCCGACCGCCGCGGCCGCGCCGGGGCGCACCCGAGCGCGCGCGAGCGAGCGGACGGCAGCCGAGCCGGCGGCGAAGCCAGCAGCGGGCGGGCGGCAGACAGCGGCGCCCTCCCGCCCCCCCACATCCCCCCGCCGCTGCCGCCGTCATGATGATCGACCCGCTCACTCTCCAGAAGTCGTCAACAGCACACGAGCGAGCATGGTCCCTCATCTTCATGATCATCCTCCTGCCCCTCCCCCACATGCATCTATGTATGCATGTATGTATGCATGGAGGGATGGATAAGTGGATGGAGTTGAAGATGTATGTACGTGTGTTTGTGTGTAGGTGTGCATATGTGTATGTATGTGTGCATGTATGTATGCATGTGTGTATGTGTGTCTGTATGGATGCCTGTATGGATGTGTATACGCATATGTGGGCATGAGTTTGTGTGTATATATATATGTATGTGCATGCATGCATGCATGTATGTAAATGTATATGTGTATGCGTGAATGGATGCATTTATGTGCGTTGCATTTACATACGTGTGGATGGTCGTAGGCGTGCATGTGTGTGTATGTGTATGTATGCATGTGTGTATGCATGGCTGTATGCAAGTGTATGCTTTGGTCTATGTGTGATATGTGCGAATATGTGTGTATGTGTATGTGTATGTGTACGTGTGTCGTTTTGCATGTATGCATGGATGACTGGATGTACAGGCATATGTATGTACTCATGTGTGGGCTTGCCAATGTATGTGTGTGTATATGCATACACGCATGTACATACGCGTGTATGTAAATGCGCACGCATGGATGCGTGACTGCAAAGAGGTGTGCATCATGAATGCATGTGTGTATGCATGTATATATGTGTGTATGCATGTATGTATGGCATGTGTGTACGTACGAATGCATGTAGGCGTGCACGTATGAGTATGTCTATGTGTGTAGGTATGTATACGGGTGTGCATATATGTATGTGCGCATGCGTAGATGTATGCATGTATGCATTATTGTGTGTTTGCATGCATACGCTGATGAATGCATGTACGTAGGCATGCATGATGGTATGAATGAGTGTGAATGCATGTATGTATGCATGCGTGCATGTATGTATGTATTAATGTAGGTATGTACGCATGTACTTATGTGCGCGTACAGATGCATGCGTACATGCATGTGCGTATGCCTGCATATATGCATACATCCGTGCAGTATGTGCGTAAAGCTGTAAGCATGTATGTATGTAGGTAGGTAAGCAGTTATGTGTGTGCATGTGTGGATGTGTGTATGTGCAACGTTGTATGCATGCATGCATGTGTGCGAATGTGCATGCGCACATGCAAAGATGCATGAATGTATGAATGTATGTATGTGAGTATGCGAGCACGATCCCATACATGCATGCATGCATGAATGAATGTATACATGCAAGAAATTAAATATGTATGTACGTGCGTAAGGTATATATGTATGTATGTATGCATGCATGTATGTGTGTATACTCGTGTGTGCGGGTGTGTATGTATATGTATATATGTATGTACGCATGCATAAATGCAGGTGTGCGTATGTGTAAATATGTGTATGTATATGTGTATGCAGGTATGTATGTGTATGTATGTATGCGTAGATGTGTGCATATATGCATGCATGCATGAATGCATGTATGTAGGTATGTGTGTATGTCTGTATCACGACTTGATATGTTCGTGTCGCTGGCTCTTGCCTCTGCCGATCCCTTCCTCGGGGGCCAGCGTTCTATCCCGAGCCTGCTCTAGACGGTCCCAGGGCCTGGGTACGACCCAACAATCAATCAACAATCAGTGCCCTTCTAACGGGGACTCAACTGCCGGGTACTTGGGCCAATGACCCGACGAACCCAACCTCCCCGATGTGGGCAACACCGCATCGCAAGGAAGAGACCCAAAAATTACAACTTTCAGCGAATCTCCAAAATACCCGTTAGCGAATACCCGTTACGCGATATCCAGCGTGAGATTTCCGGATCGGGAATGAGATCTGGGTTCTCGGAGGAGCCCATAACTCGATGGCGGCCTCCGGACGCCAAACGAAGATCAAAGACGTCCAAAAATCTGCATGCAACCGGGCTTCTCGACCATGCCCCTTCTCCTTCTCCTCCTCCTCCTAATCATCATCAGCAGCAGCATCATCATCACCACCACAACAACCATCATCGTCATCATCGTCATCATCATCATCAACATCATCATGATGATTATCAGCATCATGATGATCATGGTCATGATTATCATCATCACCATCATCACCATCATCACCATCATCATCAGCATCATCATCAGCATCATCGATATCAGCATCAGCATCATCGATATCAGCCTCAGCCTCAGCCTCAGCCTCAGCCTCAGCATCATCATCATCATCATCATCATCATCATCATCATCATCATCATCATCATCATCATCATCATCTTCATCATCATCATCATCATCTCCTCAGGTTTTCAGGGCCGCCCTGCTGCTGCTCTGGCAGCTGCTGCTCAGGCTGCTGCAACTGCTGCTGCTCGTATTCCTCCTCCTCCTCCTCCTCCCTTCTCCTCCCTTCTCCTCCCTTTTCCTCCTCCTCCTCCTCCTCTTTCCTCGCACGTGGCCGCGGCGCGCCACGTCTATCCACCTACCTGAAGAGTTGAAAGCGGTCCGCCTCCTCCTCCTCTTTCCTCCTCCTCTTCCTCCTCCTCCTCCTCCTCCTCGGGGAACCAGCAGCAGCAGCCGCAGCAGCCAGCGGCGGCAGCAGCCCAGCGAGGACAGGAGTGCCTCTGCGGCGGTGCGGATGCAGGGCCCCTGCTATGGCTTCGCGGCCTGCCCCCCGGGCGCCCTCCAGGAGCCCAGCACACCCGATGGATGCAGCGCGACGTCGCTCGGGAGGTCCACTCCCAGCGCGTGGTTCGGTTTCGCGCGGATCTCTCTCTCTCTCTCTCTCTCTCTCTCTATATATATATGGTATGCTATGATATGATATGATATGACATGATACGATATGCTATATCCGCCGGCCCCCTTGTGGGGCCACCAGGCTGCGAGGCGCGTGATTCGCAGTTTCCTGTACCAGTTGTAGTTTGTAGTTTCCAGTGTTACAGTTCTGCTTCTTGCTGGTTACTGTAACTAGTTGACTGATTGCTGGTTACTGTAACTAGTTGATTGACCGCGCGAGGGGGGGGGAGGCCCAAACAGGATTTTTAGCCTCACCTGGGCGCGTTGTCTGAATTGCTGGGGGGGCTCGAAATCGACACCCCTCACGCAGATCCGCGGGGTCAGGGTCCAAAAACACATGGGATTTGCCACATTTCTGAAATTCGGTGCCACCCCTCACGCAGATCCGCGGGGTCAGGGTCCAAAAACACAGGGGATTTGCCACATTTCTGAAATTCGGTGCCACCCCTCACGCAGATCCGCGGGGTCAGGGTCCAAAAACACAAGGGATTTGCCACATTTCTGAAATTCGGTGCCACCCCTCACGCAGATCCGCGGGGTCAGGGTCCAAAAACACAGGGGATTTGCCACATTTCTGAAATTCGGTGCCACCCCTCACGCAGATCCGCGGGGTCAGGGTCCAAAAACACATGGGGATTTGCCACATTTCTGAAATTCGGTGCCACCCCTCACGCAGATCCGCGGGGTCAGGGTCCAAAAACACAGGGGATTTGCCACATTTCTGAAATTCGGTGCCACCCCTCACGCAGATCCGCGGGGTCAGGGTCCAAAAACACATGGGATTTGCCACATTTCTGAAATTCGGTGCCACCCCTCACGCAGATCCGCGGGGTCAGGGTCCAAAAACACAGGGATTTGCCACATTTCTGAAATTCGGTGCCACCCCTCACGCAGATCCGCGGGGTCAGGGTCCAAAAACACAAGGGATTTGCCACATTTCTGAAATTCGGTGCCACCCCTCACGCAGATCCGCAGGGTCAGGGTCCAAAAACACATGGGATTGCCACATTTCTGAAATTCGGTGCCACCCCTCACGCAGATCCGCGGGGTCAGGGTCCAAAAACACAAGGGATTCACCAAATTTCTGAAATTCGGCGCTACCCCTTACGCAGATCCGCGGGGTCAGGGTCCAAAAACACAGGGGATTTGCCACATTCCTGAAATTCGGTGCCACCCTTCACGCACATCCATCGCAAGGCGTGGTAACCCAAACTGCGAGAACTCCCTCGGCCCTTTAATCGCAAGGTGTGGTAACCAAGCCCGTAAACCATACACGTCTTACCAATCGCCAGGTGTGGTAACCCCTCTTGTGATCAGTTGGTTTTGCTGATTGCGAATCGGCTTCGCATGAAGTTTCGATACTGCTTCACGACAGCGCCAAGACCTCATGACTTAGCTCTTCCATGGCCCATTCTCCGAGGGAGGGGGCCGGCGGCAGGGGGCGAAGCCCTTACGGATATACAATGATCCAGGATGCTCCTCGATGGCCCTCGACGAAAAAATGCACACGCCCGAACGATGCCAAGGACTAGGTCGGGCATGTCCCCCTACAGGCCGATCTTGGGCGAACCATTGAAAATCCCAAACAGCAATACACCAAAATAGCCAACGCATGCTCAAGTGATCAGCCCCGGACTATAGGTGTCTACTATTTTTGCATCTTCCTCCTGTCGAGGGGCATGACCGACGTAAGCCCAGGCGGAGGGGGAATGAGCTGTCGGAGCGACCTCTCGAGGCCGCGGCCGCCGTGCGTCGTGCACCCCTCCCCCTCGCCCCTGCGGGCAGGCGCCAGGCACGCAAGCGGGGCCACGGAGCAGGAGGGGCACGCGGACATACGGTGCCCCGATGCCTCATGGGACACGCAGGGGCAGACGCGTACTAGAGTATGCGAGAGAAAAAAAAACCTGATCCGATGGTTTGAAAAAAAGCTCGATAAAGATATCAATGAGGAGATCGACCCCGACCCCAGGAACCCGGAACCCACCGAAATCGGCCCAGAACCAATAACCAGAAACCCAGGACCCCCAGAACCGGGACTAGATCTCCCCCTTGGAGGCATCGAGGAATGGGCCCCTCGGCGGGGCCGAAACCAGCTGCATGCAGCAGATTTCGACCCCCCCCCTTTCCCAATCCTTCCTTTTCGTCCGGCCCGAGCATTGTACCCATTCTTTCCGTGCCCATTCCCTTCGTGCAGAGACGAGGGGCGCCTAGGGCCGCGCCCGCCGCGCGCCAGGCCGGCAGGCCTCCTCCAGAGGGAGGGCGTCGGGCGCCGCGGCGGCGGCGCCGGCCGGCACAGCGAGCGCAGCGGCGAGGACGAGAGGGCGGCGAGAGGGCGCGCCGGAGGCGGCCGTGGAGGAGAGCGAGGGCGAGGGCGAGGAGGGCGTGGGGCGGGGTGGGGGCGAGGAGAGCGAGAGCGAGAGCGAGAGCGAGGTGGGCGAGGGCGAGGAGGGCGTGGGGCGGGGCGGGGGCCAGGAGAGGAGGACGGGGGGCACGGAGGATGGCCAAGCGTGGGACGGAAGGGGGCCATCAGCGGAGCAAAGATCTGCCTCGAAACATGGGGGGTGCAGGATGGAGAGGACGACGGCGGGCACGAAGAGAGGGGGGGAGGGGAAGGCTGTGGATGGGGACAGAGGGGAGGGGCCATGGAGCAGGAGGAGGGCGAGGAGGACGACGACGGGGGAAGGGGGGTATGGAGAGAGGAGCAGGGAGGCATGGAAAAGGACTACGAGAATCCCTGCGTGCCCCCTGCTCCGTGCACCGCTCTCCACGCATACGTACCACTGCCCTTTCCGTCTCCTGCTTCACTGCCGTCATCCTTCTGTTTCCTCTTCACCCCCCTTCTCCCTGCCCCTATCACCCCTCGTCCCTGGAAGAAGAGGAAGAGGAGGCACAGGAGGAGGAGGGAAGGAGGAGGAGGGAAGGAGGAGAAACAACCACAAGAAGCGGGGCGAGAAGAAGGCGAGACATACTCCCCCAGCGCAGCACCCTGATAGCGGCAAGGGGTGAAGGGGCGGGTCGGACGATGGGGAGGTCCGCTGGTGTCATGGTGTATCCCCAGGCGTGGCTAAAGAGTCCTGGGTGTGACAGGGGTGTGAACACGCCCATGTTGACAGAAGTGAGAGCGCGGCCAAGTGCACCGTAATGCATGTTTAAAACCAGATCGTGGCCGTGTGACCCGGGTGAGAGCACGACCACGTGCACCGTAGAATAGGATACATTTGACAAACACAACAAGATCGTGGCTGTGTGGCCAAGGTGAGAACACGGCCGTGTGCACAGTAGTCTGTCCTTTGCAAAGAACCGTGGTTGTGTGAACGTGCTCCTTGCATCCGCCACCGTGCCTGCACAGAGTGGGTGTGCTAGAATACTTGTCTGTTGCCTGGGAGGTTCTAGGGCCGACCCCCCCCCCTGCCTCGCGCGCATCGTTCAAACTCCCCCCTCCTGAATTTGCTCTCCATCGCTCGTCTCGGCCTTTGGTCGGCTCAGACGGCCTCCAAGATGGCCTCACTAAGACAACCCCGATGACACACCAAGACGGTCTCCGTTGGACCAGAACTGCTCCAGCGGTCCTCCGAAGGCTCAGGAGGCTAGCTAGAGACGGCTCCAACAGGGCAATAGAAGAAGAAACCACGCCATATACATAGACTTTTGGCGCTCCGCGCGGATTTCTTGGAGCCGCGCTGGACCCCCTTCTTGGCACGCGGAGCGCACCAAGGGGGGCGGCGCTGGAAGCGCCGCCGGGGTGGGGGCGAGGCCCAGCGCGGATCCGAGAAATCCGCGAAGAGCGCCAAAAGTTCATGTGTGTGCCCGTTTTCCTTCTTCGGTCGCAAGAGTTAGGTCGGGCCTACAGGCGGATTTGATTTCGGACGACAAATAAACATGGTCGAACAATCATCAAAAGTGCTCCAAAGTAATCAAAAAATCGTCCCCAGGCTATTCTTTGGTTTTTAAATATCTCTCAGGGACAGGCCCGACCTAACGCTGGAGGCGGCTCCGATGGGGCACGCCGTGCGCCGGGCCGGGGGTGGGGGGTGGGGGGGGTGGGGGGCCGGGCCGGGGGGGGGGAGGCGCCATGGAATCCGGGGATACATCATGGCCCCGCCACGATGCCCCGATGGTCATCCCCCCCCTCGTGGCCGCCTCCGACAATCGCAACGAGCCGTGCGCCGGGCCGGGCCTGAGAGAGCCAGGCCTTGGGCGCCCTCGCCCGAGCGGGGCGTGCGCGGGCTGAGCGGCGGCAGCGCCGCGAAGCCGTCGGGGCGGCGCCCGGCCGCCATGGAGCGCGGCCCTGTGGCGCCGGGGGGGGCGCCGCGGAGGCGGCGCCGAGGGGAGGGGCCTCCTCCT